TTTTTTCACTTATTAATTGTTTTCACTGTCAGGAAATTTCTCCTTAGTTCCAAGTTGCTTCTCTCCTTGATTAGTTTCCATCCATTGCTTCTTGTCCTGCCTTCAGGGGCTTTGGAAAATAAGTTGACCCCCTCCTCTTCTTTGTGGCAGCTCCTGAGATATTAGAAGACTCCTATCACATCTCCCCTAGTCCTTCATCAAACTAGACCTACCAAATTCCAGCAACTGTTCTTTATATGTTTTAGCCTCCAGTTCCTTAATCATCTTCGTTGCTGTTCTCTGCACTCTTTCCAGAGTCTCAACATCTTTTTTTATATCATGGTGACCAAACTAGTTCCATTCTAGCTTTTTATACAATGGTATGGAATAGAGAGTACAGTAAAGTAAAATGGAATGGAATGGAATGGAATGGAATGGAATGGAATGGAATGGAATGGAATGGAATGGAATGGAATGGAATGGAATAGAATAGAATAGAATAGAATAGAATAGAATAGAATAGAATAGAATAGAATAGAATAGAATAGAATAGAATATAGAGTACAGTAAAGTAAAATGGAATGGAATGGAATAGAATAGAATAGAATAGAATAGAATAGAATAGAATAGAATAGAATAGAATAGAGTTGGAAGGGACCTTGGAGGTCTTCTAGTCCAACCCTCTGCCTAGGCAGGAAACCCTACATGATTTCAGACAAATGGTTATCCAACATCTTCTTAAAAACCTCCAATGATGGAGCACCTACAACTTCTGGTAGCAAGTAGTTCTACTGGTTAATTGTCCTCACTGTCAGGAAATTCCTCCTTAGTTCCAAGTTGCTTCTCTCCTTGATCAGTTTCCACCTATTGCTTCTAGTTCCATTTAGCTAGCAATTGTATTTAGGAATTTGAATTGCTAAAGCCTGGCTAGCAACTAGTTAACTGTACAGGTAGTCCTCGACTTAATGACCACATTGAGTTCCCCATTTCCGTTCACTAGAGGCGACATACTGGCCCTGCCAACTCTGACATACATAATTTACAGTCCCCTGTGACCCTGTCCCCCCCCCCCCCCCCCCCAATAAGCCAGATTCTCCAATTGAGCACAGTTCACGGGCTGGGTGTCATCCATCACGTTCTCCAATTACGTCCTGGGTGTCATCGATCACGTTCTCCAATTACGGACTGGGTGTCATCATTCACGTTCTCCAATTAAATATATTCGTGGGCAAAAGCTCTGGTATTTTAGTTACAATCTTTTCAAGGTAAGAGTTGGACCGTACTTTTGCTTTCAAATGGCTCCACTGCCCTTCCAGATTTCCTCCTTCCTTTTTACGGCAACTACTAAAACAGGCCTAGGGATGTTTTATGAGTTGACAGCAACGAGATAGGGGGATGGTAGTGGCCATATGCCAGGCCCTTGACCCAAGGAGTCAAGATTTGAATGGGATTTTCAGCTGCTTTTGTCAGCCCTGAGAAGAAATGAAAACCTGGGAGTCCTCCATGATGCAGGTTGACAGTGATGAAGACTTTTGGCGTCATTCCATTCTCTTCCTAGCCAGAAGATTACACACCGTTGTTTGCACGCCGTTCCCAGCGTTTACTGATCTTTCTAGGACATCGATGTCTCGTTCAAGGGACAGCATCCAAACCTTGTCATCAAGAAAGGGCCCCGTAGCGGCAATTCTTTTCCTTGAAAGCCCATAAAACAAACACGCAAACAAAAAACAAACCCAAAACAGTGTGTTTAGTTTAACCACTTTTCGGGAACGTTTTGTAACGTGCAGATTTTAGCAGCCTCTTTGGCTAATTGGATCCGCATGGCTCCCACCCGGATGAAGTTCTGGAAGCTGTTAAAAAGTCCTGGCTATTCTCCCAGGGTTTGGGGCAAGGGTGATGGTTGAACCCCACTTGTCCACCCCCACCCCCGGCTGGATGGAGGGTTTTGAGGAGCAGGGGTAGTTTCTTGTGTTTGCTTTCAAGCCATCTCACGATTTCTTTTTCGGGTTTTATGTTTTTATTTCTTTCACAATTGTATAGCCACCCAGAGTCATTGAGAGCCAGGAGGGCTATCAATTCAACAGATGAGTAAAATAATAATAATAATAATTTGAGAGCTGCTTGTAATGGAAATGTGCTCGGCGTTCTGTCTTTCTGCAAAGCGATTAAAAAGGCAGAACGGTAGTTTGCTCCAGTGGGGGGAAAATGTGCTTTGCAAAACCCTGGTGTTTTTTTTTTTTTTGTCTTCTAAAATGAAAATAGTAGCATACCTGTCATCGTGGGTGATTTTGCTTTAAAGATTGCCGGTGCGATGCTGTGAGTTTCCAAGCTGAAAAATGTATAGCGTGCAATAACTTGAGTTTTAGATGTCAGGGTTGTGTGTCAAATGGAGATTTCTGTGAATCTTTTTCAGTTATGTTGTTTGCAGACATTTCATTACCCAACTAGGGGACATCATCAGTGTTAGAAGGGAGTGAGGTTTGCTCTCTGTTTAGTATGTATGCATGAATGTATGTATGTATGTATGTGTATGTATGTATGTATGTATGTATGTATGTATGTATGTATGTATGGTATTCAGCTTTGTTCGGGTATTTTCCCACGTCATTGTAGTTGTGCTTTTAAAGTTGTAGCAACGTTTCGGCAGAATCTCATCTGCCAACACAGACGAACACAAGACAGAAGCCTGATGATGGCAGATGAGATTCTGCTGAAATGTTGCTACAACTTTAAAAGCACAACTATAATGACGTGGGAAAATACCCGAACAAAGCCGAATACCATACATATAAATACCCACGAAACCTTAAGAAAACGAGAGAGAGAGAGAGAGGGAGGGAGAGAGATGGAGGGTGGGAGGGAAGGAAGGTAGGTAGGTGTGTGTATATCCATATATATAAAGTGAAATACCCCTCACGCATCATCACAAAATCTCCAGAACCGTAAAGCCTACACACTTGAAATTTGGCCTGCATGTTCCTCTTGGCTTCTAGGGGCTCACTAAGAAAGGATTTTTTGAAATGACCCTCAGAGCATTAATATTTCCTATATTATTATTATTAACACGCTCTGATGTTAAGGAGTTCTACTCCCCCTCCCCACCTGAAAAGAAATCTCTTCCAAATGCAAAACACAAGCAGAGGAGAGGAGTTTCAGTTTCAGTTTCACAACAGCACCAAGCAGCTTTAGTACAGAACAGTTGAGCTAAGCCACGCCCAGGCTCCTTGCTGTCTCCTCCTTGCTCACACAGCAAATACTGCTTCAGTTTCCAAACAGCCCTCAACTCTCTCGCACACTGACAGGACGCTGCCCAGATGAATACTGACGGATGCTGGTAGGCAGAGGCAGAATATTTCCCCCCCTTATTTTCCTCCCCCAAAACTAAGCCCGACCACATCGTTTCATAGCAAAGCACGGGTATCGAGCTAGTATTTAAATATCTTGAATGGTTGGCAGGCATTTGACAAGTTAAATGTAGAACAACCCCCCAATCCTCCACCCCCCCGCAGGCCCGAAGAGAAAAGTTTTCAATCGGTGCGTGCTGCCCGCTTTAACGTACGGCAGCGAAACATGGACGCTAACCTCACAAACCGACACAAAGGCTACGAGTGGTTCAAAGAGCCGTGGAAGGATTCGTGTTCGGCCTCACTAAGACAAGATAGGAAGACCCGCCCCTGGATTACAGAACATATATACACAATGTCACCCAGAGAGTTTAAAAAATGGGGATGGAAATGGTCTGGTCGCATAGCAAGACGAGCCGAGGGCAGGTGGACCAAGGGACGGGCGCGCATGAGCACACTGACGTGCCTACCGTCCCTGCCCTATTGGTTTTTTATTTTATTTTTTTCTTATACGTATCCATTTCATGTCTCCATAACTGTGTTTATACTTTACCTATTATCTTGTAAGCGATAGATAGGTAGGTAGGTAGGTAGGTAGGTAGGTAGGTAGATAGATAGATAGATAGATAGATAGATAGATAGATAGATAGATAATGAGAGTAGACAGATAAGAAAGAGGAAAGAGAGGAGTAATGATAGATAGATAGATAGATAGATAGATAGATAGATAGATAGATAGATAGATAGAGTAGTCGTAGAATGGATTCCTTGATTTAAAAAAATGTCCACGAAAGAGACCTAAAGCAAGGGTTGGAAGCCTGCGGAAAAGGCCTTCATCCTACAGGGGTGTCCTGAATATAAACAGGCAGCAAACCCCGCTCCCTTCTAGCACTGAAAACGTTGCCTAGGCGGGCCGTGAAATGCCTTTAAGAAAGCAACCAAGCTCAGACAGCACCAAGGACCCCCTGGTCCTCCTCCACCTCCTCTCTGCTAACCCCGCTCCTAGCACTGGAAATGTTGCCTGGGCAGCTAATGAAATGCCTGCAAGAAAGCAACCAGGTTGTTGTCGTCCTCCTTCCCCCGCCACTCCCACTTCTCCTCATAAATCCATCCCCCCTTCCTTACAAAGAGGTGGTGGTGAGGGTGTCAAGCTATTTTCCAAAGAACTCAAAAGGCCAGGCAACGAACAGTGGATGGAAACTGATCAAGGAGAGATTCAACCTAGAAATAAGGAGACATTTTCTGACATTTAGAACCATCCACCAGTGGAAACAGCTGGCCTTCAGGAATTGCGGGTTCTTCATCACTGGGGGCTTTTAAGAAGAGACTGGACAGCCGCTTGTCAGAAATAGTATAGGGTCTCCCGCTCGAGCAGGGGGTTGGACTAGGTGACCTACAAGGTCCCTTCCGTTATTCTGTAACTCCTATATTCTAGCCCCGATGATGTTACCTAGTTGGGTAATGAAACGTCTGCAAGAAAACAACCAAGCTCAGAGACCACGAAGCACACCCCACAGGTCAACCCCGAGCTACAAATACTCACTTCAATTTGGGACCTCTTCCGAGACTGCCATAATCTTTATTTTCCACCGAAATATATAGTATTCACCGGTAGCGTTTCTCCCAGAAGTGTCTACCTGTTGAACATGCTGAACAATCCTTGTTTTTGTTTTATAGAAAAAAGAGAGTGAGTGTTTACAGTTGAAGATTCTGGTGCTTCGGAATGAGCTAGAGAGGCAGAAAAGAGCTCTAGGCCGGGAAGTAGCCTTACTGCATAAGGAGCAAAGTGCACTACTTGAAAGAGGTGAGTGCGAATGATACCAGTCGTCTTGTTCCCCCCCCCCCCCCCTTTGCAGCTGAATGACCAAAAACGATGAGTTGCTCCTAAAAAATACAATTTGGCAGGCTCTGGCTGCTCGCTAGTGGCGTTCTTGGCGTCTTGCTAAGATATCTATCACGCTGATACTGAAGGTCAGGAGTGTCCAACCTTGACAACTTAAGATTTGTGGACTTCAACTTCCAAAATTCTGGCTGGGGAATTCTGGGAGTCGAAGTCCACAAGGCTGGCTGGGGCATTCTGGGGGTTGAAGTCCACAAGGCCTAAAGTTGCCAATGTTGGACAGCCTTGCTGTAGGTCATGAGAGACCAGAAGTTTCCTTCCTCAAACTGCCATGGTGGTTCAGAGTTCCCAGCGCCTTAATCCCAGATCTTCTCCTAATATCTCCTGTTGCGTTATGAAGTCCGGAGAGGACAGCTCAAATTACAGTTTCTAGATTAAAATAATTGTACAGGTAGCATTTGACTTATCAGTCGTTTGTTTAGTGACCGTTCAAAGTTACAACAGCACTAGAAAGAGTGACTTGCGACGAGTCCTCACCTTTATGACTATGGGGGTGTTGCAACATGACCCCAGGGACCTCAGAATTTGAGCATTTAACACAGGGATCCCAGTTGGCCAGTTTAGGGGTTAAACCATCTCGTGGTTAAGGCACCAAGCTGGAAATTGGGAAACTCTGGAGTTCTGGTGCTGCCTTAGCCATGAAAGCCAGCTGGGTTACTTTGGGCCAGTCCAGCTCACAACACCTCACAGTGTTGTGGTTGTTGTGGGGAAAATAGGAGGCGGAAGGTGTGTTAGATACACTTGGTGCCTTGGGTTATTTATAAAAAAAAAAGGAATAAACGAAATGTGTAATTTTCCCCATCCAGCTTTCAGACAAACAAAGTCAATAAGGGGAGGTGGATTCTCTTAAACACATAATTCAAATATGGCAAAAAAAACCACCCCAAAACCACAGTGGTAAAATTGGGCACGGCTCCCTTGCTTAATATGGCAACAGAAATTCTTGTCCCAATTGTGGCCATAAGTCGAAGACTAGCTGTAATGAGTAAAACGCCAGCAAATAACAAAATCCTGAGTTCACGACTAGGCCCGTCCTTAAAATTAACCCTAGTAATAATGACATGCTTGTACTCAGTTTTCAACAAAGCAGAGAATAATAAATAGCATGGGACAAAATCTGGGGGGAAAAATGATATAAAAATAGCTCTTAAAGCGTGAGCAAAATGCTTCAGAATCCATTCCTTTGCCAAACAAAGCTGTCTCAAGAGGGCTGACAGATAACACAGCCATTGGTTGCTATGTATCAAATGTAGAATTAGCCTTCCAAGTCTTTTTGGCCATCTCTTTATGTGTGAAAAGTTCACCGTTTTGGACGTTTTGAAATATTCCTGATCCTGAGAATAAAGCCAAGAAGAACATATGCGCCCTTAATATGCGGCGATCAGCCCCAAATCATGTTAACGCTTTCTGAGATTTCACGCCAGAATGTGAACTGGGAATCCCAGAGCCCGTGAGCAAATAATACCTCTCCTTGAATGATATTTTCAAGAACAGAACAACAACTGCAACTAGCCCCTTGTTAAAATATTCGCCAGAATGTCCAGTTTAGTTGAAACAAGAAAAAACCTCCCCATATCTTATTTTGTGATCAGAAGAGACTAACTTAATAGTCTTCAAATTAACTCTGCTCTGGTTGACTGATTGTCATATTCGATTTCTTCAGTTTCTCATGAAATGACTCATCTGCTTTTAAGAACCTCTGTTGGCTTCTTCAAAACCAACAAAGCAGATGCGGGACTGAAGAAGCAACAGTAGAAATTGGACCGCGTAGTCCAAAGAACAAAGGCTTAAATTGAATAAAACAACCGAGGAATGCTTAAAGCTTCACTTCAACTGAATTGATCCAGTTGCATTGACCCAGATTTAGTTACCAGCACAAGGCACTGAAAAAAAAGTGACTTTTGACTGTTTTTCACACTGATGGCCGTTGCAACATCCCCAGGGTCACATGATCAAAATCCAAGAATTAAGTTCTTGTTTTTCCCAACTTCTTTCTCTGTATTTTTCTCACATTAACAATCGCTGCCAAGTTAAAGATAGTTCTGAGCCCTTTTCTGAGTCTTCTCTTTTGGGGGTTATGATTAAATAAAAGAATTCCTCTCACCCAGTTCCACACTGTCCCTGTCTCCACTCCCGCACTCTTCTTAGGTTGAAGCTGTCTCCGGCTGTGTGGCGGCCATTTTAGCCGCCCTTCTTCATGACGTGGCTTGAAGAGTAAGAGCCTCGGGGGTCTACGGGGGAGTTGCGTTCTCCCCTGAAACCTCACCAGGCGCCCCTTCCTTGCTTCACCAGTCCTCCAGAGTGGTTTTGGCTCCTTTTGGAGCCCACGAACACGGAGAAGCCAGCGCAGGGAGTGGAGAGCTGCGTTCTGCTGCTGCTGGAGTCACCGCAATGTCACTTTCTCCACACGATCAAAATTCAGGCGCTGGGCAGTTGGTTCATATTTATGACAGTTGCACAGTCCCGGGTTATGTGATTCCCCTTTCGGACAACCTTCTGGCGAGCAAAATCAACAGGAAATCCAAATTCACTTAACAACATGTTGCTAACTTAATAAACACAACAATTCACTTAACAACTGTGGCAAGAAAAGTCCTAAAGTGGGGCAAAACTCCTTCAACAAATCTCCTTCACTTAACCACATAAAGGTTGGGCTCAGTTGTGGTCGTAACTTGAGAACCACCAGTAATTGGTTCATTCTGCAGCTTTTATACAAGATCCTGAGGTTCATATCCTTGCTCAACCAAGTTGCTATACTGTCTCACAACTCCTCAAATGGATTGTATTTGATTTCTATTGGCACCCCTATCTAAATAAGCAACTCTGGGTAGCGTACCTCATATGCTACCCAGAAACCAGGCACCAATAACGGAGAATATTTGTAGCTCAGGGTTGAAATGAAGGGGTCCTTGGTGTTCTCTGAACTTGGCTGTTTACTTGCAGACATTTTATCACCCAACTAGGGAACACCATCAGTGCTACGTAAAGGTAAAGGTTCCCCTCGCACACCCATTCTAGTCGTTTCCGGCTCTAGGGGACGGTGCTCACCTCCATTACAAAGCTGAAGAGCCAGCGCTGTCCGAAGACGTCTCCGTGGTCCTGTGACCAACATGACTAAACGCCGAAGGCGCACGGAACGCTGTTCCCTTCCCACCAAAGTGGTCCCTCTTTTTCTACTTGCATTTTTTTGCACCCTTTTGAACTGCTCGGTTGGCAGAAGCTGGGACAAGTAACGGGAGCTCACTCCATTGTACGGCGCTAGGGATTCAAACCACTGAACTGCCAACCTTTACTGATTGACAAGCTCAGCGCCTCAGCAATTGAGACGCCGTGTCCTATGCCATCAGTCTTATTGGTAGACTAATAAAAAGTCTGCAAGAAACCAACCAAGCTCAGAGAGCACCAAGGGATCCCCTCGGAAACTAAAGCAATGAATACAGTACAAAACAAATATATTTTACTATGGATATGAATACATCCAGGAAACAGGCCTTAACACAGGGGTCCCTGACCCTCAGTCCACAGAACCAGCACTGGTCTGTGGCCCATTGGGAACAGGACCGGGAAGGCAGCGGGAAAGCGTGTGGAAAAAACCGCAACAAAACACTTTGCATTTGCGAGATTAGGTTGAACGTGGGAACCCTCCCCACAACTTCCCTGCTCCTGCCGCGTGTTGATCCACGCGGCCAAAGAGGTTGGGGACCGATGCCTTAACACACTCGGGGGTCCCAAGGCCGGACTGCTGTACAAGCGAGCCTTCACAGCCTTGCAAAAGACAAATGGGGTCTTCTTGACACATGAAGGCAGGGGTGGGGCTCAAAAATTTTAGCAACTGGTTCTCTGCCCGGTTGCTGGGTGGGCGTGGCTATGGTGGGCATGGCTATGGTGGGCATGGCCTAGTCAGCCTCCTGCACCACGGCGGTGGGGGGGGGGCGTTTTCGCCCTTTCCAGGCTCCGGAGGCTTTGGGAGGGCGAAAACGGCCTCCCCGGACTCCGGAGGCCCTCTGGATCTGGCCTTCCGGAGCCTCTGGGAGGCCCATTTCCCCCCCACGAGCCTCCGCCCAGGCCCTGCACTTACCTAGCATCCAAAACAGACCCCGTGGAGACTCCTGGGAGGGGAGGAGTGGGCAGGGCCGGCCAGGGGTCAGATTTGCTGGTTCGCCAAACCAGACATTAAAAATGATAAAATTAGATACCGGTTTGCCTGAACCGGGGTGAACCGGTAAGCAGCCCACTTCTTCCTGTAGGGAGAATATTCCAGAACAGAAATGAGGAACCATGGTCCTTTTATGACTTGTGGGCTTCAACTCCACAACGTTGGAAGTCCACAAGTCATAAAGTTAGGGTTAGGGTGAGTTGAAGTCCGCAAGTGATGAAAGGGCCATGGTTCCCCATCTCTATTCTAGAGAGCAAGGGCTGTAGCAGAAAACGCTCGTCTCGTTGCAGGATTAGAGATTTGGCACTAAAAGATACCCCGTAGAAGGATCTTGTATATTACCGACGCTTTAACGAACTAAACAGTGTTGCTTAATTGCCAGTCTTTAGAACTGATGAGTAACCTCAGCTATTTTCTTCTTCCCGAATTGATTTTGGTAGGAAAAGCGTTCGAAGAAGAACATTCAAAGCTCCTCTTAGATAAGGAACCTCTGCAAGAATTAAGGAAGGAATGCACTGCCAAGAGGTAAAAGCACTCTTAAAACTGGTTGGAATGGATTTTGCGTACATTTTGCTTGTTCATATACTAATGAACAAAGGAAAACCAAAGCCGACTGTTTTTTGGAAGGACAGATACTGAAGCTGGAACTCAAATACTTTGGCCACTAAATGGGGAGAGAGAGGAGTCCTTGGAAAAGATTCCGTTGTTGGCAAAGAGGGGGAAGACAAAAGGAGAAGGAGAGGGCAGAAGATGGGATGGTTATAAAGATAAAGTTAGTTAGATAAACTTATTAGTCGCTGGGAGATTTTGGTGTCCGTCATTTTGCTGAACACTTAATTCCCGCAACTGATAAAATTCAATGACAACCAAGGTTTTTTTCTGTCTAACATATATGTACACAAGGTTTGTCTGCAGTATTATTATAGTTTAACTTCTATTGTCTTTATACATCATGTATACAATGAAATTGGTTATTATTTATCCCTTTTTATTTTTTTTCTTTACTTTTTACGCTTACTGTTTTTTACTTTTTATTTTCTATTTTACTTCCCCCTTTTTATTGGCTGTACATTTTAGTGTTATTATTTACGATTTAATCTTCAATTCGATTCACAATCTGAGACTAGTAAAAACAGTTCAAGTCTTACCAAGAACCTAAGAAGCTATTAAGATAGCCTCTAAATAAATAGGTAGTTCCGAGTTGGGTGGTTTTGGTGTTTTTGTGTGTGTGTGTGCAAAGTCAGGATATTCAGGAGTAATAAGTTCAGGATTTCCATTTATCCATGCTCCAAGGGCTCCTCTTACTATTGGTATAATCACTGGTTTTTTCTTCCACCATCGCTTAACTTCAATTTGCAAAATTGCGATTTTTAAATTTTTTTTTTAGCTGTTTCTCCTCAATTCGTGCGTCACCTGGTATCGCAATATCCATGAACCAGACTTTTTTTCCTTTTCCACAATACTGATGTCAGGCGTGTTTGTTATTATTATATTCTGTTCTTTTGTAAGCATACTGAATGCTTCCGTACCGGAGACAAATTCCTTGTGTGTCCAATCACACTTGGCCAAATAAATGAAGTAAATAGATAGTGTCATTGATTGCAGTGGAGGTGGGTTTGGATGGACTCAGGGAGATAGTGGAGGACGGGGGTGGGGGCGCTGGTGTACTATGGTCCTTGGGAGTCATGGGGAGTCTGGCACAACTTTGTGACTGAAAACAATAATAACAATAACAAAATGTACAGTTAGCAGATAATTCTCCTTTCACGGGAGCTAGATAAGGCTTGCAGCCCCTACTGATCAAGTGCTGAAGTGGAAATGTGGCCCAGGATCTTAAGGAAATACCTATTGAATACTACAAATTGTAAATTGGACACCCAACGTTACAAATTAAAACATTGGAATCCCTCATTAATGGTGAAGGAAGGCATTTAGACAGCAAACAATGACCGATCTTTTGTCTTTTTCATTTTCCCGTGAATTTTTCTTCTACGCTGCACCTTAAGAATACTTTTTTCAAGAAGTCCTCACGGTGGGAACCATTTCCAGAAATTAACTCTTTTTGCTACCTTTAATTGGACATTCTGCCTCAGGCATCCCTTCCGCCCGGATAAATTCATTTGTGGAGTTTCTTTAATGAGCCAGATCCTAGGTTAAAACTTCCCAAGCCATCTTTTTCTCCCCCTAATAGCCATGTCAGCGCATTACACGGGAAATGGTATCCTTCTTAAAGTAGGCCATTTTAGCCAGCTACACCGGATATTGAAAGTTAACAGTACTGCACCTCTCTCAGTGAGGCAGAAAAGAGTAATTTCTCAGAATAAGGGTGTTGACAGCTCCTTCAGGAAATCATCCCTGCGTAATTGACCGCTTTCTGTCTCCTTCCTTAGAGAGCAGTTCTTGAAAACCAATGCTCAGCTGACCATCAGGCGCAGGCAATTGCTTTCTGAGCTTTCCTGCATTTATCCTATTGATACGGTGAGTGATGGGGTTTTTTTTTCTAAGAAGGCCAATTTCCGGCATTTAGTTAAAGTGTCCAGCTTTTATGCTGGAGGAGAGTCTGAACTTCCGTTATCCTAAACATTTAACTATCCACGATGAACAAAAATGACCTTAGTTCAAGCAGCCTAGAGTTCTTGAGTTGGTACGTAAGGTTTTGCATCCCTGTAGTTCCAGATTCAGTTCCTGGGGTCTTAAATTCGAAGGGGTGGTAAGGATGGGAGAGGCCAATACAGGTAGTTCTCAATTTACAATCACATTGGAGGCCACAATTTCCATTGCTAAACGAGACCATTGTCAAGTGTCTTCTGCCCCCTAATTACAGCCTTTCCTGCCACCGTTGTTAAGTGAATTCACTGTGGTTTTTAAGACAATCACGCGGTTGTGAAGCGACACCTGACTCCCCCATTGACTTTGCTTTTCAGAAAGTTATCAAAAGGGGAATCCTGTGACCCCGGGATACTACAACCGTCATAAAGACATGCCAGTTGCCAAGCACCTGAATTTTGATCACGTGACCCACAGGGAGGCTGAAGTGTGCAAAACAGCCATTGGTCATTTCTTTGAGTGCACTGGAACTATGAACGGTCACTCAGCGAGTAGCTGTAAGCCCAAGGCTGCCTGTAGTTTCTCCCATTGTATTGATTGAAATAATTGAGGTTGGAGGAAGAGATCGGCTAGCACCGGGCGGTCACATACGATGTAACGTGGAAGGGGCAGCACATAAGGGTTGCGATGGCTCAGTGGTTAAACACACTGAGCTTATCAGCTGGGAAGCTCACAGCCCAGGTTTCAGACCTGAGCACTGCCAAGACGGGACGAGCTCCCGTCTCTCGCTCCAGCTCCTGCCCAGCTAGCGGTTCGAAAGCATGAAAATGCGAGTAGATCAATAGGTACCACTTCGGTGGGAAGGTAACAATATTCCGTGCACCTTTGGGGTATAGTCTGGCTGGCCACATGACCACAGAAGTGTCTTTGGACACTGCTGGTTCCCTCTGCTAGGAAGCAGATGAGCACTACTCCCTAGAAGTCATACATACATGTATATATGTTTGTATGTAGGGTATGTATGTTAGCTTGCTGTCACAAACATGGCTCTGATACAACCTCTTTTCTTTTTTTTGCTATTCCCTCCACAGAATGATCAAGAGGATTATTTTATTTGCGGAGTGAAGTTGCCCAATTCTGAAAACTTTCAAGGTAACTGGGCCTTCACCTGCTCATTTCGTCATCTCATTTTTTTTGCAACACGCCAGTAGAATAGACCTCCCCCCTTTTCCATCAGTTATGTTAAAACTGTGTTGTTTTTGTGGTTGTCGAGACAAAAAAAAAATATTGCTGGCTGGGGAATTTTGGGAATTAAAAGTCCACACAAGTTGCTGATATTGAGAAACACGCACTGGAAAATTGCGAAGCTTGTGAGATTTGGTCATTGAGCCGGATTCTTGAGGTATTTTACTCCCTGTTTTTAAGCCGTATTGCCCAGACATAGAAGAAACCTGCGAAGCAACTGCATGATCTTAGCATTATCTATCTATCTATCTATATATAAAAGCGAAATATCACTCATGCATCATCACAAAATCTCCAGAACCATAAAGCCTACAAACTTAAAAATTTGGCATGTATGTTCCTCTTGGCTTCTGGGTACTCTCTAAGAAAGCACTTTACAAAATGACCATCCGAGCATTAATATTTCCTATATTATTATTATTAACATGCTCGGATGCTAAGGAGTTCTACTTCACCTCCCCACCTGAAAAGAAATCTCTTTCAAATGCAAAGCACAAGCAGAGGAGTTTCAGTTTTAGTTTCACAGCACCAAGCAGCTTTAGTACAGAACAGTTGAGCTAAGCCACGCCCAGGCTCCTTGCTGTCTCCTTGCTCACGCAGCAAATATTGTTTCAGTTTCCAAACAGCCCTCAACTCTCTCACACACCGACAGGACGCCAGCCAGATGAATACCGATGGAGGCTGGTAGGCAGAGGCAGATTTTTTTCCCCCTTATTTTCTTCCCCAATAACTAAGCCCAACCACATAGTTTCGTAGCAAAGCACGGATATCGAGCTAGTATAGAATGTTTCATGAATTGTACTTGAGGAAAAGGAGATGATATCGCTGAGGGAAAGGAAGCCATCTTGATATTCCTCAACAGCTGGATATTTTTTTTTAAGGCCGCTATTTGATAGTGCCTGTGAGGCTGTTAATGTTTTTACAAACTCATCAATTGTCCCACAGAACGGTTAAAAAATTTGGGGTGGAAAATGAAATAAGATTGCATTGAGAGAGAATTGCTTTCATCTTTTTATTTTGCAGAGGGAAAGGACGGAAAACACAGAGGATAAAGTTAATCCATTAGGTCAGAGGGCTTTAAACCAACGAAATAGATTTTTTTTTCCCCTTCCCCTCTTTCACGAAATCTTATTTTTTTAATCGAATATCTCTTTTCGTAAGGTCCCCTGTGTGTTGTCTCTTGTTGCCAAAAAACCTTGGCACAAATTTATACAAGTAAAATGTAGAATGTACAAGTAGAATGTATTTTTTTTCTACGCAGAAAACTCAGACGCATGGACTATAAGTTAGTTCCTCCACTAACAGCCTTCTGTTTTCCATAAATCTGAGTTTTCTGTATAGAAAAAAAAAAAAGGAAGGGTGGAAGAAGGAAGAGAATGAACGGAGTGTACCAAGGAAAATGAAGGAGATTATGAGCTAGCGGGGGCTGTTGCCCGGAGGGGACTGCTGTTTTTGGGCCATGGATGGTTTACCTGGACAAGAGGTATTTTGGAAAAGGTGCTACATGAAAGGACTAACTTTGAGTGAAATTAAAAGCAGTGCATGGCATGAAAATTGCCATTTGCAATTCTTTTGTTCAGCTCAAATTCTTTCTGTTATTGAAGAACTCTGTTTTGATATCTGTACCTCAATTAAGCCGGTTTTGGTGTAGTGATGAATGCATCGGACTAGAACACCAGGAAACTGGGAGTTCTAGTCCTGACTTAGTTATGAAAGCAGGCTAGGTGACCTTGGCTTGATCACTAGGAGATTGTGAGTTCTAGTCTCGCCTTCGACGTGAAAGCAGGCTAGGTGACCTTGG